AGGGCCCAGCTTGGCAAAGCTCTGGCTGGGAAGATTTACAGTAAAACTCCAGTTGTCCGGCATCCAGTGGTCCGGCACTCCTGATAGTCCGGCACCACCTGGAACCCGGAAGTGATCCAGGCAGCTGGACAATTGGAGCTGCTCTGCCCCGGGCTTCCCCCAGTCAGCCGCTGGTCAGTTTCAGCAGCGGCTGAATCTGGACACCAGTTCCGACTTACATACAAATTCAACTGAAGAACAAACCTACTGTCCCTATCTTGTACGTAACCCGGGGACTGCCTGTATTGGAATGCTGCCTAAACACTTCTTTCAGGATTAGTGCCACAGGGGGCTAAGCCATTCTATCCACTTCTGAAACACATATGAACAAGTCAAAAATATACAGGCAATTGTACTTGAAGTCACTTAAGCAAATGTACCTGGATTTAAGACAGAACTCGTTTATTGCTCGGACACCAGTGATGAAATTATTTTGTGTGTATTTTGGTCCATATTCTCTCTTTTTAAGAACGGCTTTAACTAAAAAAAAAATAAAATTAAAAAAAAATGTTTTTTAAAAGAAGAAGAAAGAAAGAAAAATGGTAAATATCACCAAGTGCAATTAAAAAGACACGGAGCCTGCTACATTATATGCCCTGAAAGACAAATCAGCCTTATAAGTAAACCATGGGAAATCATGAATTTAGCCCATTAATTTAAAGGGAGATATGAAAGTTCTTGCCTTCTGCCAAGGATTCTGGGATAAAGATGTTTAGTGACAGAAGTACACAAAGGTACTTTGCAGTCTGTAGCGGACAGAAATGTTTATCATTTTCTGGACAAAATGTAAATAAGAACAAAGTAATTCAATGGTTAACATTTAATATATTAAAAATTATTATGGAAACAAAAAAAATATATAAACATAAGTTCTAATCAGTCACTGATGACCAAAGACTTATAAATTAGTTTGTTATTACTGCAGATCTTTTCAAAACTAAACCAGAACTGAAAAACTGTATCCTCCATTATTTTTCAGGAAGAACGGCTCTTGCGCAAGAGGGGGGGTTTGTGCAGAAAGGAGCCAGCTACACAGCTCCCTTTTGCGCAAGAGCCTCTTGCGCAAAAAGGGCGCCTACTTTAATTATGCAAATGAAGCGCAGCAATATACTAATCTGCTCTGCATTTGAATAGGCTTTTGCGCAAGAGAGGTGCAGTGTAGACGTAGCCTAAGATTGCTTGGGCAATGGAATGGAAAAGAACATTTGTCAAATAGAGAAAATAGCTCTGGAATGTTTTATTTTTTTTCTTTCAACAAACTCTCTAGTGAGCATATGAACATCCATATTTTAGAGTATACATCAGCAACCTTTCACAAAGTACCCACTCAAATCAACATGGAAGACAAATCTAAAGAATAATTTCAGGTTGAGTTCCCAAGGAAATGTTAAAAATTTTGCGAAAAATAACCCATTAAAGATCACACAAATTGTAAGGTGAAGATTGTTCCCTTTTTAGAATTTTCAATGCTTCATTACTGCATTAAGATCTGTAACAGTAAATAGTTAGGATACTATTGTGCTTAAAGGCCTGTAAAGCTCCATTGAGCTAAACATCATACAAAAACAGAGAGAGAATCCTTTCCATGAAGGGCTTACAATTTAAAGACACAAATGCTGTGTCTTCACTAGGAAAAAGGTCTTGGTTTGCTTTAGAGTGAGTTAGCTCTCCGGTAATACAAAGTACACCTTTCCTTATGAACAATACATGCCCAAACTGATGAAGATTATGAGATATGAACACAATACACAGGCAAAACATAGAGTGAAGAATTGACACAGCTTTGTTAAGTACATGTTCTGTATGTGGGGAAATGGAAGCAGCGACAGTTTATTAAGGAAGTAAAAAAAGAAAAGAGGAGGAATAGACACAGAATGTCAACTGTCTAGACCAACAGCAGAATGAATTTTGTAGGTACTGAGGAAGAGGCAAGTCTTTAAAAATTATTTAAAGGAAAATAAAGCAGCAAGAATTCAGATTTTATCAGGGAGATTTTCCCATGCATAAGGTGCAGACCATTCCTAATAGACTTGTTGCTGTTTTATACCATAACAACAGGAAGCAGCGAGAGAGGAGGGCTCGATGCTGGAAGTGAAAGAAGAGACCAAAAACCTGTTTTGCCCATGTTGAGTTTAAGAAGTTAACCACACATTCATGAAGAGATGTAAGACAGGCCAAGATACTAGACTGGATAATGAGGGAGACAAATCATAAAGCTATATATCAACTGAAGAACAATCAGCTTCAAATGGTAATTAAAGCCATGTTTATGGCAGCAATACAATTTATCATTATTTGCTCCACTTCTGAGTAGCGCCATTTTCCCCAAACATTCTCTAAAATACAGACATCAAAAGTTACATGGGAATGTTTTTCCACAAATGTTTATGTAAGCCCAAGACAAGAACTACCATACACACTTCCTACTGACTGATGCTCCTCCTAATGTTCAATTATTTCCTTCAAGTCTTGTATCTTCTAAAGTTGAAAAGATACTTTAAAAGACAACTCCATACTAAGAACTATAACATTGCAACATAATATATATTTACCTTTTACTTGGATTGGCTCTTGCAATATAAGTGGTTTTTGGCCTGCACTGCTAGGATCCCGTGCTGTAAAACATAAAAAAAAAAAAAAAAACCCTCACTGCTGATACATGTAAACAATTTTAATTAAATGAGAAGAAAGAATATTTGTAATTGCCACTGGGTGGATTTGAACCTAGGACCTCTAAAGCAGAGTATAGGAGCCTCTACCCTCTTGAGCTAAAAGGCAGTGGCTCCTAGCCCATGCTGTAGAGGTCTCTTGGTCTTAACTTTTGCTGTGGTTTAGGTACCACTTGCATTTCTCAATAATCACACTAGGTGTGTGGATTACATATTGTTAGCAAGGCCAACAGAAACTTGCTTGTTAATTAAAAATTGACTATGTTTAGCTCATTGTGCAATATTTGTTAATACTCAGATCATGTGAATTTGATAATGTATAAATACACATTAAGTTACAACTGAAGAGTTGCAATCTGATATTCAACAAAGCTGTTAGCATACAATACAGTAAAAACCCCTATTTGAAAATTATCATAAATCAAAAATTTTTCAGTTGCATGTCTACAACTATGAACAAGTTTGATGCAAAATTTTACCATACAAGTAATAAAAATTAAGGTTTGCAGTTACAATAAAATATTCAAAACTGTATATTTTCTGCTGACCAAAAATACCACAAATGCTTCAGTTTACAGATTAAAAGCTATCTGAAGACATGAAAACCTTTTAAAACAGAAGAGTTAAGATTCTGAAGAACAGAAACTAGAAAATAAACGCATAATAGTTTGCTTTTGGAATATGAAGATATGCTTACTCCTCATCAAAACACAGCTAATCAAAAGTTCTTTTACTACAAAGAGAATGGAACATCAACTAGCAAAAGGTAGAAATCTGTATTTCCAGATACTAGGCTCACCGCAAATTATCAACTTATAGTATCGAGTATGTTCAAAATAACCAGAAATGTTGACAGATTATTCAAATGCATGTCTGAATATTTATTCTGAAAATCACCATCTTAACTCAGTCTCATCAGAATAAAATCCTTATGATTCTAATAAATAGATCTAACATTACGTTTAGTACTATAGCATTGGATGTATGCCAGACATCTGCTATCATTAGCAAAATTAAAACTAATTTTATTGAAACTGAAGCAATTTGGAGTACTCAGAAGACCTTAAGGATTCTTCAAGTAGATCTAAGCTGCTTAATGAGAAACTCCTGACTTAACATCTGATTTGAATTATTCAAAAGTCAAATATTCTTAAAGCTTTGTCTACACAACTACTCTTAATCAAGCAAGTAGCCTTGAGATATGACAGGAACTACCAAGGTCTAATATGGTTTAAGGATGTTAAAAATTGTTTAATAGGGTAACCATGTAACTGCTGAAAATCTTGGAGGTTACACGCACTACAGGCTCTGCAGCATAAACTTAAGCAAGCTTTATACTGCAGAGCCCACACTGAAACCTCCCTTGCCCCCAAGACTCCTCTCTCCGGGAGAAGGCTTCACTGCCCTGCCGCAGCAAAGCGCCTCTTCAGGAGCCAGCTGAGTGTAACCAATACTATTAACAGATAACCATCAGTTTATTGATTAGACAGTTAATTAGTTATACTCTAACATCCCTAAAATGGTCTGACTGTATTTTCTTAGAAAGACAGAGGCAACAGTACAAAACACACAAACAAAAATGTTTATAATGTATTAACACTCATCTTCCAGAAAGTGTGTTTGGAAAAAGCCTAAAAATAACTAAGCTCTTTACTTCCTGTTGAAACACATTACCTACTCTCTGAATAGCTTGTTCAGCAGCATTTTTTTTTTAAGTTCAAAATAAACAAAATACCCTTTACTGTTAATTTCTGCTCATACTTAAAGACAATGGGCACTGACAAACTATCATTCTTCATATGCACAGACAGGATTGTCTTGTATATTTGCTTCCAGTGTTTGCCAAAAGGCATCTGCCATTGTACAAATAAACTTTTTTTGTGTTCAAAATCATATCTCAGTGGCATTATTTAGTGAAAGATTAGGCTATAAACTTTCATTGGAAAAAATAATTACATATAAAATGTCAAGATTTACATTTGACTGTTCAGACAGCATTAAGTACCCTTTCAAAAAAATATTACTCTGCTCTGAAGGTGTGACAAAAACCACAAGGAATCAGTGAAAAAGAATGGAGTATTAAAATTCAGAACTGTTGATCTCTGAGAAGCTAGAGGAAGATGATGAGATTGTTTTAAACATTAATTAATCTTCTGAATCCCCAGTCATGTTTTAACTAGTTGTCTCCTATGAGCCCTAGATTCTTTTCTGCAGTAATTCTTTCACATTTTGTATCCTTGCAATTGACTGGTCTCTCCCAAGCGTAGTACTTTGTATTTGTCCTTACTGAATTTCATCCTGTTTATTTCAGACCTTTTTTCAGTTTGTGCAGATCATTTTGAATTTAAAATCCTATCCTCCAAAGCACTTGCAGCCCCTCCCAACTTAGTATCATCCTCAAACTTTCATTGTTCTCTTTCTGCAATTATCTAAATCATAGATGAAGATATTAAACAGAACTGGATCCAGAACTGATCCCCGCAGAACCCGACTCGATATGCTCTTCTATCATGACTAGGAACCACTGATATAGGAACAGTTTTTTACTCACCTTATAGTAGCTCCATCTAAGTTTAATTTCCCTAGTCTGTTTATGAGACAGCATCAAAAGCCTTATTAAAGTCAAGATATACCACATCTACTACTTCCCTCCATCCACAAGACTTGTTATCCTATCAAAGAAAACTATCAGACTGGTTTGACATGACTTGTTCTTGACAAATCCATGCTGACTTATACTTACCACCTTATGTTTTCAAATCAATTGCTTAGTTGCTCCATTATCTTTTTGGATACTGAAGTTAAGCATCCTGCATGTTTAACACAAGTTCCACTTAGCTCACCCACATAGCCAATGTATAGGCAACTAAAAGCAACCGTAACAGAGAGAGTGATATGGAACATGCGGCCATTGGTTCAAAAGTTGATCAAAGTGGTATGATCAGCTCTTACCAGACGTCCCATGGTAGTGGGGGTTTTGTCACTGGCACAAAGATCCTAAGACCACCTTTTAAGAACCAAATTACAGAGTAACCTTCCAGTAGAGAATGAAAGGAACTGATAGCTGAAAGTCAAACTAGCAGCAAACAAAACAAAAATAAACCCTCTGGCACTGAGGGACAGAAGATGGTCTAAATTGACAGGAACACCTTCTGATTAGGGTAATAACCACAATTTAACATCCCTAGTCAGAACAGAATTGATTCTGACTAATCATGTAGTCGTTGCAATTTGTATCGACAACAAAATTAGTCAATAAGGATCACTCCGCAGAGCTGCAGTGGGGTTAGCTCCAAGAGCTGGCTCGAGCCAGGACAGAGCAGTCCCAACTCTTGCCAACTCCAGCAGCCACCCGCGCTACAGCTCTGCATTTTAAACGAAGTATAAGCTGCTGGGCTCTTACTACATTTAAAATGCAGAGTCCCAGACCAGCACAAGCTAGGACTGCTCGGTCCCGGCTCCCACTGAGTCCAGCAGCCCCTGTCTGCGGTGGCCAGCCCTGTTCACCACAAACAGGGGCTGCCCCAGTACCAGACCCTGTTTGCAGCAAGGGCTGCTGCCAGAGCTGACTTTGCCCACAGCAAGCCCCAGCCTGCCACCAGCAGAAGCTGCATCTCAGCTGCCCGCAAGCACCATCTCCCGTCCACATCCCCATCCCCATTTCCACCCCCACCCCCACCGCTGCCTCTTATATGCATTGTCATACCAGAGGAGTACTAGGAAAAAAATACCTCAGATGGTCCACCTCGGACAACATAAGAGCATCACCCCATGACCTAATGATGCTCTGGAACAATAGACGTTGAACTTCTTGCTTGTTTGGGAGGATAACAGGCTCCAAGATTAGGGAGGTAAGCAACTAGTCGAGTAGTCAACTAGTTCTTAAAAGCTGGTTCCGCCCTGCATCGTCTCTGCAAGGGGCGCGGAGGCAGAGCCTCAGCAGCCCCAGGAGCTACCCCCACTGTGGCTGTGCATTTTAAATCTAGTAAGAGCCTTTAGTAAGATTTAAAACGCAGAGTTGCAATGGTCCCAGAGACGGCAGTCTCTGCTCACACCACAACCTGGGTGTCTGGTTCCTACTACAGTGAAACCTTTGTTATCCAGCACTCTCTTAACGGGCATTGCCCGCAGCTACAATACTGTCACATCTTCAGGCGCACAGGCCTGGCTTGGTTTACCATGATTGGCTTAACAATTTTTTATTTAAGTACTAATCATTTTTAACTCAAAATAGAAATGTGAGACCAACTGCCTCACGCTACAAAACTACCAATATTAAAAACATGAGTTTTACTATTATTGTCCATTGGTTTTTCCTAGGTTGATGGGACCCTCAGATAACCAAAATTTTTAGATAACCGGAATGCTCTAAGCCCCAAGCGTGCTGGGTAACACAGATTTTACTCTACATTTAAACTTCAGAGCCACAGCGGAGATAGTTCCTGGCATGCCGGAAAAGAGCATCTCCCCTTATCGACTAATTGTGTACATAATTTAATACTTGTGGACATTGCCAGATTAACAGTTCTAGAGGGCGAAATCCTCTATACTCAGAACAAGAACTAGTTAAACAGCAGTTTAAGTTCTCACCATTTTGTCTCAAATATGAGCAGAAGAAAATACTACTAATCAGAATGTTCATTATTTATGCCAATTCAATCTTTAGTTACTTTTATAAAATCAACTGGGGCCAACCAATTTGGAAGGAGCAGACTGCTAAACTGTAGAGGCATCCCATTATCTATCCCTTGAGCCATCCAATCCCTCTCCAGCATTTAATATTTATTTACAAAATGAAAATGCATCTAAGTTTTTAACCTATGTTCATTCACTGGAGCTCTTGATAAACTGGAATGAAGTGTGACTATTTTCAAATTCTGCATCTTTAGCACAATACAAATTGGATCTCTCTGACGTGGGACCTGACCAGTCCCAGACAAAAGAGTCTACCAGATGAGAGGAGGTCTGGGAACAAGGAGGGGGCACCAGCCTCCATGCTGAGCGCCTATTCTCAGCCACCTGGCACTGCTGCCCTCAGGTCTCCTGGCTGTGACAGCTCCAGCTCCCAGTCATGTGTACACTGGTGCCCTGCAGGCTCCGCTGCCAGCAATCTCTGCTGTTAGGGCTCTCTGGTCCATCCTGCTGGACCACAGATGTTGCTGGAACAGAGAGTCGCAGAAACACAGAGTTCAATTCTACAATACCATCTGTTTTTAATTATATACAGCAAACTAACAGACTTGTTTGCTGAATAAATGCTCTAATATATCTGCTCCTTTTAAATATAAAATGGGTAAGAACCCTGTCCCATACATTCATAAGCTACAGGATTACGAATATAGATACAATTGTAAAGCATGCATACCTGTTCCAGCTTTGTGCACAGTTCCTTCAGGGCCTGATACAGGGCCCCCTTTCTGACCATCAGAGGTGTAAACTCTCACTTGACTCAGTGATTGGACTGGTAGATGACTGCATGACAGTATGTAAGAAAAACCTCCACATTTCATTGAGCCTTGCCCTGAGAGGAGAAAAAAAAGTTTTACACATTCAGTGTGAGAAGAAAAGAGGGAAAATATGTCAATAAGAGTTGCTGATATTAGTTGTGAAAATTAGCTTTTAATAAATATTCACTATTTTACCTGTGTGCTCTATTTTCATAAGTTCTACACAGCTAAAACTAGTCCTTTCACCCATTTCCCAAGGTTTTTCTGTCTTACTCTCGTGTTTATTTTTAATAATAGCAAAAACATGACAGTGTATTTGTGTAAGTTTCTCTCATAGCCTAGCTCTTTGAAACACTGCTCATGAGAAAACTTAGAAGAGAATCAAACAAAAAGGTGTTAGATTAAACACTACTCTAATCATCTGCTACATAAATCCTCTTTATAACAAACAAAATAGTTGGCAGTCAGAGAGGATATTAGAGTAGAATGCCAATTAGGAATGTCAATGGTTAACCATAAACATCACCCTTATCAGCCAATGCTTACCAATTAACAACTCAACTACTCTTCTTCCCTCCCACTTCCTCCCCAAGCAACCCACCACCACACCGTGCCCTCCCCATGCTGGGCCTATGGGGCTGCTTCAGCCCAGCTATTAGCAAAATAATTCTAACAGTTTTGTCCTTTCATTCCACTCTCCACAGTTAAAAACAAATATTCTAATGGATGAAATATGCAATAGATATTGGCCTGCAATTCAGGTGTAATATCTGAACTCGGCATATCTGATAATCCAGCACCCCCTGGGTCCTAAAGGTGCCGGATTATTGGAAATGTACTGTATTGCTCTACGGCAAGTTGTACATCTGAATATAAAAGCACCATACAAAAAATATAAGTTATATTAATGTTAAATTGATTCAGATCATAAAATGCCTTTAAATACCCAAAGTCAAAGATCAATATGCTCTGCTAAACATATTGTGATGGACCCCCCATGCTTTATGAAATGAATTTATGGACACAAATATACATAACTTAAAGATGCTTTAGACAAGTTATCTCATGGGACCTATCAATCTTCGTGTCATAATCCACTGGATCTGTTTATCTTATTTTGGTGTATGTATCATTCTTGTGTGTAAAATTAGACATATGGAAGAGGAAATGCTTTATTGTTTTTAAGTGTGTAAGGGTGCGTCTACACTGCACCGCTATTCCAGAAAAACAGCCATTATTCCGGAAAAACAATACTAGCACCCACACAGAAACTGCATTATTTCAAAAGAAAATGGAAATAATGGAAGGCTTTTCCAATATTGGAATAACACCTCTTCCGAAAAAGCTCTTTTAGAAGAGAGCGTGTGTGGATGCTCCACTGCTGCTATGTCAAAATAGCTCCTCATGAGGGCCATTCTAAGTTACTCCTCCCCAGTGCCTCCTGGGGCTCTAAATCAAGATAGCGCGTCCACATTTGGGGAGCCTGCCTTGGACTAATTTGGAGGCTTCCCTGTAGTGTGGACACTCCATTTCAAAATAAGCTATTCCAGAAGATATTTTCCAAAATAGCTTTTTCCGAAATAAGCATGCAGTGTGGACGTACTCTAAATGGAAAGTCATCAAGGGTGGTTCTGCTTCTGGGAGGCCTCAGTGTCTGGGCAATCATATGCAAATAGCCTTTTGTCCTTAAGTCTTAGCAGTGGTAGGGACAGGCCAGGTGACCTCCCAAGCAAAAAGGGAATCTTCAAAAACAATAGGAAAGTAGGGGTGTTTTGTCTTTGACTGGCTGGACACCCCAAGGAAGGAACCAAAGACCCCAGAGTGAGGAACAGCCCTGGTTTTGGAAGGCTTAGCTGGAAAAGGAACAGTTTTAGGGCAAGATTATAAATTGGTACTGAGGGTTTAGGGTTAAAATTAGCTAAGTGTTTTCTGTTACTTTTAATTTGTAATCTACTTTGCTCCGCCTGTTCTCACTTACTACCACTTAAATCCTACTGCTTATACTTAATAAAAATCACTTCTACTTACTATCAAGACTAGTGTAAATAATTATTACTGGTGGGGGGGGGCATCAATGTGTACATTCCCTCTTTAAAGGGGGCTTACCTAAATAATTATTTTGGGGTTCTGATCCCATTTGAAGAGCAGTATCCAAGGAAACAGCACCCTAACCTGCACTATCCTTGGACCTGAAGGGGTTCAGTGTCTGCATTGCTTCTCCGGAGGGGGGGAGGGGCATTCATCTCAGCTCAGTGCCATGGCTCTGGGAGACCAGGGAGCTGTTCTCAGCAGGACTGAGCAGTAAGAAGCTCCAGAGAGTAGGAAGGCAAGTGTCAGTGGCCTTGTCAGCCTTCCAGGAGGCATGTCCCAAGAGATCTCCTGTGACCGCACCCAGTCACACATGTTTAACAAATTAAGAAGTTAAAGAAATACCACTTTATCGTACTTGACAAGTGCATGCTTTTAAACCCCTCTCTATTTGAATGTTTCTATATTTATGGTGGCATTTTTATTTAACAGCATCCCTCCTACAAATTAGTTGCTCATAATATTCACACAGATTAGTTCTGTACTATTGAGAAAGTTTTTAAAACTATTGTCCAAAGTTTAGATTTTATTTGCCTAAATTTACGTGTACTTTAAAGGTCACTAATGTATTTCAAAAATGTTAAGATTCATATTCATTAAAGAAGTTAAGTAAATATATCTGGCTTTTCCACTTTTGAAGAGACAGATGAAAGATTACTGCAACTATTTTAAAACAAAACTAAGCATTTTTAGTGCCCATACTCTCATGGATCATACAATTTAAGGCTCTCATCTCAGAATAAGTTTCACATGGGCAGATTCTGCAAACTGCTCTGTATGTATGCAGGCAACAGAGCCTCCAACCCACACTGACTCCTCCACATGAAAGATGTTAAATTGCATGTAATCAGCTAACCGAGTAGTCGATGGAATTTCCATCAACTACTCGATTAGTCAATAAGGGAGAAACTGTAGAGCCACAGCCCTGGGAGCGAACCCTGCTGTGGCTCTCTGCACCTTTTAATACACGATTCCCAGCTCCCGCCCAGTTCCAGATGCTGTGCCTCTGCTTTTTAAGTGTATTAAGAGCCTCTGCTACATTTATAAAGCAGAGGCACAGCATCTGGGACCAGGTGGGAGCTGATTCCCAGCTTCCACCGGCTCCCCTGCTATGCCTCTGCCTCCCCAGATGGTGCGGGGGGGAGGGGAGGAAGAGAGAACTGGCTTCTAACTCCCTCTTCTGCTCATCCGCCTTGCTGCCTCTCTCATAGAGGCAGCGGGGGAGCAACTATTCAAGTCACTACTCGACTACCTGAAAAGCATGCTTATGGGGTAGTCAGCTAGTTTACATTCTGACTCCACATTCAGTCAAAGAAAACACCTTCTGATAATGGATTAAAAAAATTCAGCCATTACATTCTTGCTTCAAACTGTAGTCTTTTCAGAAACTGTACTACACACAAGAAAGTTTAATCAAGAGTAAACCAACTTTTTATATAAAACAGCAGTACAGCATTTGTGCTACCAGAACATTTGTTGTTTTTTTCTCTAACAGATTAACTCAGCTACCCTCTAAAGCACAAGAAACTAGCTACAGTGCTTCAAAGTCCTGTGTTCAGAGTTAGAGCTACTGATCAAAGTAGGGAGGATCACTCTAAAATGCTACCTACACATACTCAAACAAGCTCTTCTCCTACTAAACTACTCAGATGATCATAAAACTGACCAGGTGCAGGTTTTTATTGGTAGTGAATTAAAAGGACAAAGAACAATTTCTGAACTTTCCCTGCAAAGTTATACACACAAGAAAATATAAAAATGTTTTTATTACAGATATTGGGTTTCTGCAAGTTACCAATGTGACCTTAAACACCACAAAGATTAAGTATCTAATCTTCAGGAAGACATGTAATTTACTCTACTACTTCCTTTTCACAGAAGTTTGGATTTTTTTTAAAGACCTTTTAAGTCTCATAACATATCCCCTTAGCATTAGTGCAGGACTGTTTCCTCCAATGTATTATCCAATGTATTATTTTAGTCAGTACTTTTTGCCTCATCCCAAACAGATTACATCAGTCAATTTCAAGAGGAAATAGGCTGTTGGCAACACATCACTGCAGACAGGCAATTTTTAAATGAAATCAATATAAAAAAAACACTAAGGGTGCTCCATTGAGCACAGCAGGCAGACAAAAAGTGAAGCTCAGGGCCTGTGAGATGGCATTTATGATAGAATTGTGGAAGGTTAGAGGGTGCTCTGAAAATGTGAGGTTAAGGAACAAACGGGAATAAGGGAAAGCAATTAAAAATCACTGGGTTTGGGTAAACGGTGAGACGATATTTTAGAGGCATAGCCATGTTAGTCTGTAACAGAAAAACTTAAAAAACAAGAACTAGTCCTATAGCACTAAAGACCCACTTCATCAGATGTATGATCTGACAAAGTGGGTCTTTGCCCATGAAATCTTATCATAGAATAATAGGACTGGAAGGGACCTCGAGAGGTCATCGAGTCCAGCCCCCCGCCCTCAAGGCAGGACCAAGCTCCACTTACACCATCCCTGACAGATGTCTATCTAACCTGTTCTTAAATATCTCCAGAGAGGGAGATTCCACCACCTCCCTTGGCAATTTATTCCAATATTTGACCACCCTGACAGTTAGGAATTTTTTCCTAATGTCCAATCTAAACTTCCCCTGCTGCACTTTAAGCCCATTGCTCCTTGTCCTGTCTTTAGAAACCAAGAGGAACACATTTTCTCCTTCCTCCTTGTGACACCCTTTTAGATATTTGAAAACCGCTATCATGTCCCCCCTTAATCTTCTTTTTTCCAAACTAAACAAGCCCAGTTCATGAAGCCTGGCTTCATAGGTCATGTTCTCTAAACCTTTAATCATTCTTGTCGCTCTTCTCTGTACCCTTTCCAATTTCTCCACATCTTTCTTGACATGTGGCGCCCAGAACTGGACACAGTTTAAGGGGCCCAAGTTCCAAATGAGAGGATGGAGGATCATGGAGTGGGGCAGACAAGCCTTGAAGAGAGTTTCGGAAATATGAGACTATGGGGCG